CCGCCATCTTGACCTCGGAGCGGCGCGCGGCCTCCTGGGTGACGCGCGGGGCGGGGCGGGCCCGGCAGTGCCGCCCGGCGCATGCGCCCCGGCGGGAGGGCGGGCATAGGTGAGGGCTGAAAGTAATAAAAACAGAAATGAGCTTCGTAAAGCAGGATAAACAAAGCACCGATCGGTCACGCCAAGAAGCAGAAACCTTTCTCTGCTCAGGTAGCGTCAGGTGAGCGGCTCTGCGTTCTGAGGCACAGATCGCTGCATCTGCCCGGCCATTCCCTCAGGAAGGGACCACAGCGTCCGAAAGAAACAAAGTGCGGAGGAAGGGGAGACCAGAAATACTTCAGTCAGAAGTTTGCGGTGTGTTTTTTAATCGTAAAGCCACAACGTTCTTGTCATGATCCTCAAAAAGGTCTTCGAGCCTCTCTCCCCTTCCATTTTAGGACTCCCATTAAATGTTTTACTACCATTCTTCATCGTTGTTTGGGGAAGCTATTTCGGCAGAAGCTTGTGTTTAACATTTCAAAGAAACTGGTTTAGCTCTGGCAGCAATCATTTCGACATTTAAAAATACTAAGGAAAGTTAAAGCTCAAAGTTTGAGAAATTCAAAATATACACAGTGTATAATATAACTTCTGTTACAATGTAAGACATAGTAATAAGGCTAGTGCAGCAAATCTGCGAAAGTTAACTCAAACAATATGAACCCACAAACTTTCTATTAACATTTTTACTATAAACATTTTTTTACGAGACTGAAGACTGCCGTTTGTTATTAGCATTTAATACAGTCAAAATCCAAGTAAGCATATTGGACTTGAATACTTTTATTTAACAGGAGGAAATGAGGGAAAGTGCTTATTCATCACATTTCAGTCACCATGAAATTTGTTATGCATCTCCACCAAGAACAATCTATTTAATAGAGTATTTCAAGCAATCATTCCAGGCCAATGGAACAGGAAACATGAGAAAAAGGACAAAATAGATCATCTCAGCTATATTGCAGACAATGACTGGGGTTTTTCAATGTGTTTCAAAGAAATTATTTTTCAAATTCTTAACTTGGATAAATAAGAATTTGTCCAAAGTCATAACCCCAAGATCACTACTATTCTCATTCTTTAAATCTCTTCAGCCTTACTTTATTTCCCACCTATTATCAGAATTTAACCTTTTGAATTTTATTCTGCTGTGTTCATAAAAATTGCTATTTTTAGCTTCAACAATGATGTTTTAAAACACTGGGGCTTTTTCAATAAATAAGCTCAAATCCAAATTAAAACATTGTGATTTCAGATTTCCTGAACTGTTTTTAATGATTGAATGAAAACTTCTAAACAGTATCAGGCAGTTTGCATGTGGATTTAGGCAGCTTTTTCATTTTTCCCAAATACACTGTGACGCATTTGGTAATTCCATATTAATGTGCTTTGTTTAATGATAAGATTAAGTATTTCCAATACTCCCATGATGCACGTCAGCATTTACTTCAGCTTTTACAACTGACTAATTCTATCACCTTAATATATACTATAGCCTCTTTTAATATAGTTACTTCTATAATAAAACCACACAAATCTCATTGGTATGAGGGGGCAGAACTGAACAAGGGGAAGAGAAAAGTAACTAAAAGTCCTTTTAGATTTCAGGGACAAAACCAGCTTTATTTTCTTTTTATAATTTGCCTAAATTAAGTTTGCTGGTTTTTTGGGGTTTTTTGACATTTATAACCAGCTTTTAGGCTACTAATTTCAGCAGCCCACTTCACTAGGAAACACCTTTGTAACCTATTGAAAAAATGCCTTTCTGTATGAGAAGCTTCACATATTAATGGTGTGATTCTTTCTACCTTACCAGGAAAATAATAACATTATTATTTCAAGCAGGTAAACACAACACTACTTCATTACCACACTATCTTGCTATTCTAGCTTTTGGAGGAGAGGGTGAAAGGAGAAGACAACAGAGGGCAAGACAGGGAATAAGTCACTAGCCAGTTTTCCAATCTCCAAAAATTCTGCCATTATCAAAAGAAAAAACAATTTGAATTTACCTTTCTGTTAATGTGCTGCATCATCCACTCTGAATTAATTGCAAGGCTTGCATTAGTAGCAATCAACACATTGGCTCAATCCCTCTGAAATACATTTTTAAACTACTATTACTGTGAGCCTTTAAATCCTACATGCTTCGCACAGTGACTTTTTAACCAGTAATTAAAAAGTTAAGACGCCTTAAAGGGAAGTAGTTTTATAAAGTATGTTTATTTTGTAACTTAATTCTATAAATTTTTACATGTGTTACTAATTAAAGTGTTTTTAAGAAATTTTCAAAGTCCTGCATGGACGCTTTGGCAATCTCTGTACAAAACACCTCATCGGGCAAGGAAACCAGCTGATCCAGAGAGATGTAGCTGGGTTGTGCTGGGTCATACTGGGTTCTTCCCAAGAATGCAAGAAACATATGCCTTTCTCTGATTCGTAATAGTTTTGAGTTGAAAACCTAAAAAAGAAAAAAGGGAAGATTGTTTTAGGTTCTCTAAATTTCAGACCCTGAGGCATTGAAAATAAGAGCCTTTTTTAGACAAACTGAGTATCTAGGAAGCAAACAAATAATACACTTATTTTCCTATAATTTATGTCAAACACCAGGTAGGTTACATTTATATATAAATTATCTAAACTCTAAATAAATACTTCAATACAATATGCTGAGAGACACACAACAGAAAACAGGGAAACAAAAAAACTAATGTGCTTGGGAGTTGTTTCTATATAACGACTATATTATTTTTGTGTAATCGCAGCCAAGAGAGTGGAGATATCCAGTAGCAAGGAGCACTTTCCGTGTAGTTTGGATTTGTAGTTTCCCTGTCATTTGGATCAGACAGATCCAAATGACCACTGTTACAAGGAAGAAATGAAGAGGTGATCACATTAGGTGGCATAATGCAAACAATAAACTGGCACAGTATCAAGGGCAAAGGTGAGTGGATGTAACTTCTGCCATCATAATATGGCCAAAAGGCACCGTGTGGTGGTTCAAAACAACCATTTGTCTTCTGCTGCACAGCAATGCCTACTTTGAAGATACCTGATCCAAAAAAAAAAAAAAACTTTGTCAAAGATGAGAACAGTGGTAGGGGAAACACAAAAGAAATCAGCAGGACATTTAAAAAGAGAGCGAAGTGGGGAAGATGAGATGCACAGTGAAGTCATAAAAGCAAAGCTTTATGTTCATTCCTGAGCAGTACCACTGAACAGAGAGAGATGCTATGGAGGAGACAATAATGAAAATGTGAATGCTACAGGAAGCAGAGATTTTACTAAAAAAGAGGTCAGAGACTACTGCATTGATGGAAGAAGAATTCCATGAGGATGCAAACTAATTTGAACAAAGAGGGAAAACCAAAACGACTGCTCCTCCTCTACATTTCTTGAATTTTAAGAGAAAGTCAGAATACAGGATAAAAAAAACCAAAACACTTAACTACTATTTATGGAGATAGCTGACAGAAAGAATGGCTACAAGAGGAGCTGTAACATCAGAGAATTTGACCCCTAAAAAATTCCTGTATACTCCCTATTTTCAACATTACTGTCACTCAGGATAGAAGTGAGTACAGATGGAGATAAATACACATTTGTGAATGCACAAGTTAAAGACCCAACCATATGTAGATTGTTGTGCACTACCTGTATCCTGGAACTCAAGAGTTTTGGAGGGTGAAAGGGAAGAACAGGAAAGAAAAGGAGAGTCTGGGCCAAGAACAAGAAACAGAGGAAACTCTCCACTTACCCTTCCAAACAAAAAGAAGAAAATGATGAGGTGAAGCACCAGAAAGCAAACAATAAGACAACTGAGAAGTAAGCAAAACTTGTGGTCGCTTACTGATCAAGGAGGCCAAAGTGACACAGATGAGTGTTAGAGCAAGCATCCTTGTTAAGTAAAGATATATTAAATAGCAAGATAATCAAAACTCTGGGGAGCAGTTTTATTCCCTCATATAATTTTAGCTTTCTAGCCACTTAGATTCTCTACTAGACTTGCTTTAGAAAGAAAATGACTGCCATTCAAAGCTGTAACTTGTGTTTTCATTTTCACGTTGTAAGAAGACAGTGCAGTGCAACTGCATGTCAGCATTGAATGAAGTGACTAACACTTTCAGCTTTTAATTTGTGAGGAAATAGCAGTAATGAGAAGGTAGAAGAAACCCCCAGAATAGTAATCAGGAAGCTAATCTATTTTTAATCTCATGGTATTTTAGCAATTGCTGCAGGAATAAGACCAATGAGAATCTGATTGCCTAATTGGCAGAGCTTATCTTACACCTTGACACTATTTTCAGATCCTAAATTTTCTAAAGCTTATTTTTTAAGCAGACAAACCTGAAAGGAATGTTTATATAATATCTATACATATATATATATATCTGTGTGTATATATATATACATATAGTGTTATCTAATGAACAGATCTTCTGCATAATCTGTCTTCTCTTGTGTCTCTTAGGCAAGATTTCAGGACAAGCAAATCCCTAAGCAGGCACTAATCTCACTTGCATGAATACAGAAGATATGAGCATGACTACCTCTGTAGAAAATTCTCAAGACTGTGGGTAGTGATGTCACACATGCTAAGGGGAAAAAAAGCAGCAGTTCCACACTAAAATCCTCAATAGTTTTTGGATTGCTAATAAAAGTTATCCCAATTAGAGTGATAGCCACAGGCTAGCTGAAGAATTCACTTATGTTCTGCATAGAGCAAGGCTCCACCTTCAGCACATTAGTGAAGCGCCTGTGACAAGAGCACCTACAATTTATTCCCAGATTAACAACTCACCTGAGGAAAGCGAGTAAGCATGTGGTGGGGAATGCCCATTATGTTGTGTAAGTAGTCAAATGTCTGTTTGAGTCTCTTTTTACTTGCAGTTAAAATCTTGGGAGTTTTATACACTATCTGTTGAATTTCATTACGTTGAAAACCAAGTTCAATTTGACAAACCTGAAAAAGAGCATAATTTTATCTTCACAAGTCAGCTACAGCAAACTTAGCTTATTTTAATGTGCCACTAAAATAAATTTATGCAAAATTTTTTTATCCTTTATACAGCAACACGCATGCAAACCACAAAAATATCTGCCACTTCAGTTCTTCTCAAGTCAGACAATGCAAATTTTTTATCGTTCTGGATTAAAGTGTAATTTGTTTATAAAATACCCCCAAAATAAAGATGACTTCTGTGAATGTTATGTATTTTTCAGCTTATCTGAGATATGAACAAAAACCCCATGTCTCCATATGTATGGTAGTTACAAGCATAAAAATTCTCCCCTAAGAGTCCTTTATCATTTTCAACACCAAGCTGTCAAGAGACTTTCTTCTCATGGAGCTGATGAGCTCCATAAAGCACAGCACTCAAATAGCTAGCACCTACTTTTGCTAATGTGTTACCTCTCATGTATCCAAGTTATATTTGTATAATAGGGAGTATAATTTCTATAGTCTTCAACTTCAGATTGTTAAATCTAAAAGAGATGTGTGGAATATGCAGTCTATTTAATTTATTCTACAGTTCAATAATGTCTAAAGTAAGACATCTTTTTCAGAGACTGCCTTGACTTCAATTATGATTTCCCCAAAGGAAAACAGAACACATTTTTTCAATAAAATCATGAGCACTCCTCCCAAAGTACAGAATGGCAACCAATTAATTGAGTTGTTGAGAAAGAATTCAGCATACAAGAGTGTCTGTTAACTCAGTAATTTCTTCTATCTCCAGTGACACTTAGAAGCAGCTTGTTTTCAGTTGTGAAGTAGGTGTGCTTGCCAGTTAATATAACCAGACTTTCATATCAAACTAAGGTACTTCAATTGGCAAGAAGGTGGTGTTTTTGTTTGCTCAGTTTGATGTACCAAGAATACAGCTCTTTTCCAGAACTTCTTGTCAAATGAAGGGAAGGGCTTAGGATCTGGGTTTTGAATTTACCTTAGGACTTCCAAATCCTTACAGGGAACTGTTTCTAGAGGCAACTATAATCAGGTCTTTCAAATCCTCATTTTAACTTTCTGCTTTAGAAATATTTGTGCACCACACAAAATACTAATCAACTAAGACAGCATTCAAGTATGAAAATAAGTGTTTGTACATGAGTGGTATCCTCCATGGACCTGAGCTGACAGGGGTAACTTCCTGCATCAAGATGCACAACCAGAATTAAGACACTGTGTTAAATCACTGCAGATATAAACCTAGGCCCACTGTAGAGGTAATTGTGGCAAGAATCTTGAGCTCTTCTACTGTGGAACAGCTCCCTTGACATGATCTGTGAGCTGAAGTGTAAGTTGCTTTGACTGCACTCAGTTTGACAGTAAACATATTTAATATTCAAGAACTCTCTAGGCCACACATGCTAATATCCTTATTAGGATAAACCTCAGCAATACTCAACAAAGTATGTATTTTTCCCACAATAGGCAGTAGTAATGCAAGCTTTCAGGTTTTACCATCTCTAATTGTGCTTGATGAAACCCTCAGAGGATGGACTAAGCCATCCTTCAGCACATTTAGTCCATGACTGGTATCTTATGACAACCAATTATCAGCTACTGTACTTGTTTCTAAATAACAGTCAATTCAGAATGAGGGATACAGCCTGATCACTTCTGAACCGTTGGTACATGATTTCACTTTCCAAGTACTGTCCTCCCACCACCAGTTTAGGACATACAGATCTGAACACAGATTCTGAATCCAACCTCCTGAAAAGCTTGAGCTTTTAAGAATTAGTAGATTCCAGCAACAAGGACCTAAAAATCCTTCCTTTCTTTCCCTCTCTCACACATTTTAAAAATAGAGGTGCTAGGCTGTATTTCTTGGTAGATAAACAAGATAGTCACATGGAACTGAAGAACTTAAAAACACATTCATTATAATAATGGCTCCCTAGCCTGTGGAAACAATGTGTGTTAAAAAGAAAGCACTATTAATTAGAACAGTCTGCTACTTTCCAGTCTCCTCCCTTACCACACACACATTTCAGATTGCAAGATTTCTAGTCTTTAATAGTTTCAGAGAAGTGAGTCTATCTGAAAATTATACATTTTGATTCACAGTTGCTTGTTATAGGATAATGGAATTCCACAAATTGTTACACTACATCATGCTGTTTGGCCTCGATGGCTTTACAGCACAGTAATTAAACCAATACACAGTTACATTTTCAAAAGGGAAAGGAATCCCTGTGGGTTTGAAGTTATTTACCCAACAGTTGTTAATAACGACCATCTGCTATCAGACAATAGGTGTCAAATGCACATTTTGGCAGGCTAGTTACCTGCCAGGAGAAAAATAATCAGCTGCACATTTCTTGCTCCTAAATACTTACGGACAATCTAAGTTAGCAAAAAAACATAATAATTAAAGGAGGGGGGAAAAAGACTGAGTATTTTTTCTACTCATTAAAAACTATTTTAACCATTTATGTCATCACATAGCAACTTTTGGCAGGAAGGCACTACATCAGAGTAGAAGGCAGATTAATGTAACACTCTATTATTGGGTAAGCTTGCACGCTATAGAGGAAAATACATTGTTTAATAGTTATTTTAGTTCATCACTAAAATTATTTCATTGAATTCTTTCTGTACACAATCCCCTACAGGAATTTTATATTCTGATAACTCAAACTATATGGATATACAATATATTCTTAATATCTATTCATAAGCTCACCTGAAGATTTTCTTTTACAGGCTCTAATTTGCCAGTCAGTAGCCTTGGAAGACGAATTACCAGATCCTTTGTCTACAATCAGGAAAAACACATAAATTAAAGAGTTTTACTGAAGGCTTCTTGGTAAATTTAACTGTGAAAGAAAGATCCTATATATACTTTTTTTTGTATTTAATTTTGTAGTTCATTTTCTCTCTACACCAAAGGTGAATTTGCATGAAGCAGCAGTATATTAAGATGCAAAACATTACTCAAATACGTTCTTTTGGAAAACAAAAAAAATAATACAATTGTAAAGCAAACAGGAAGAGGGTAAAAGCATGCATCAAAAGGAGAAAAGTATGCTCAAGTGCCCAATTTCTCTCAGCCCTCAAGTTGTTTTTTCCCATCTTTTTAAAAAAAAATAACACACTACCCAATGGAGGCTATAAAAGGATTTTTCAGCAGCAGTGGTGCTAACTTCAGAATCTGGTTAGTCCAGTGTAACAGCACTACAAGAAATTACTCCACATTCCCTAAGGTTTCTGATTATTTGTAATCCACCCCTGAGTACAAGGTAGAGACTAAACCCTTTTCTGAGGAGATCTCTCATCTCAAACATGAAAAGGCCAGCAACAGGGCACTGCAGCAGCTATGACTGTTCAGCTAATAGAAGAACCCTAGATTCTACTTGGAATTTGGCATTCATTGCGATCCCCACCTACTGCAGGACACAACTTATTCCAGGCAAGTCCAGCTACTGAAGATCCCTGAAGCACAGGGCTGAATACCCACTAAGCAGGTAATGTGGTATGCACTCATGAGCAAACCCAGAGGTCACTCTTGGTGACCTGAGCATATGATTTGGCATTTATCTTGATATGATACAGATTAGATTACTTTTTAAATGATTACTTAAGTATGTTACAGTATCTTAAAGAGATGAAGAGCAACAAATAATTTTGCAGAAGTTAAAAGAACTGCTTGCTGTTTCAGAAATTAATTCAGTACTCTGAATCAGACCCACCTCAAATAATAAAACTGGACATACACATGCTTATTTGATAATAACGTGTAGCAGGTCATCTTCAGAACCTGTACTTCATGTCCTCTGAATGTTAGGTATCACTTCCACAGACAGTTAAAACCGTGTTATCCTCCTGTAACCCTCTAGTGATATGACTGATGATAACACAATGTTTGTTGATAACCTCCAAACACTCAGGAGTATTCATATTGCAAGACCTTACAACTGTCACTAACAAAATACCTGAAGATTTCAGTCTTTACCTTTTTTACACTGAGACCAAGTTCATTTTTGAAGAAACCCAGTCTGTTATCCAGTCTTTCCACTGAAAACAACAGCAAATATGGAGCTCTTGAGACCATCTGAGCAATTTCTGACTTACCAAATTTTTTTGATTTTAGGTAAGCCACTCTAGAAAGAGAACAAAAACAAAATAAAATCCAGTGATGAAAATTTTACTGCCCCCATTTATTCAGCGATCACTTAAATTCCTCAGTGATATCTTATAAATGGACAGATGTTCTAGCATTAACATGCAACCCTGCCAAAAATAATTAGGGTGAAATCTGCATTTATTGTAAAAGCAAAATACCCTCCCTTCCAATTAATTAGAAGTAAAATAAACTTCAGAGCAGAATGTCAATACTAAAGACAGATTTTAATTCCTTCCAGCTGTACTTAAGCAGATAACTGTGTTAACCTACATTTAACTACCAGCCTGTCTCCTAGATTGCAAACACAGTAATAGATCATCATAGGGTATGGACAAGAAGACATATACAGCCTTTTGCTATTTTAATGAATTCCATTTCTACTGCTGAAAGAGCAGAGTACTATACCTCATACATTCCTGCTTTGCCGATATCATTGGAGTAGGAATATCATACAATGATGTTGTGTGTAGAGATAGTGTTGAAAAAGACATTTCTACATCAGCTGAAGTTACATTTGCCACAAATAGGTCCTTACTTTCAGTCACTAACAAGTGGTCTAACAAGTGAGTAACAAACATCTGGTCCTCAGAAAGCAAGAGGAGTTGACTAAAGTTTTGATATTTAACAGAGCTTGCTTGCTTTCTTTCCAAGTCAAAACTTTTTCCAAACTTCGTTGATTTCAGTGAAAGTGAAATCTTATTTTGAATACCACTTGCAGTAGACGATTACCATAGCTCACAGAAAAAAAGGCGTAAGAGGGGAAATACAGCACACAAAGAGATACAATCCACGTACTACCGTGTACTAAAAGACAATTTGGAGAGGCTACCTCTGGTTATAATGAGAGCAATTGCAATATGAGAAGTATTTGCAGTCAGATCAACTTAGAGCATTCAAGAATTGGTTTATCTGGTAGTAATTAAGATACTAAATGAGTATTTATGTATTAAATGAATATTCTGCAGAAGCAGATATTCAGCAAAAAATGGGCTCTGTTAAACCATATCTTGTGTAGAGAAAAAAAATAAAATTTCCTCCTAGTCACTACAACTTCCCTCTTTCCACAAATCCTCAGAAATTAAGTTATCACATGCCAAAAACTTCCAGATGGAAGATATAAGAACAAGCTCTAGAGGACCAATTCCTAACTGAGCAGGCACCCCAACACAGAAGGTAGCACCCTAGGCTCTAGACAATGTCAGTGGAGCTGGCACAGCTTCCAAGCATCCCAGAAACAGCTAAGTCCTGGTTTAGGGCAAAGTCACCCCAGGACAGCAGATTAAAAATCTTTTGGCTGTCCTGACTCCACTTGTTTTCTGTTAACAAGTCATTAAGATTCACACCTGAAACATTTCTTCCTGGAAAGGCAAGAGATTTAAAAGAGGGATGGCAAGATTGTAGTAACCTGACTCTAGAAACTAGTATATCAAAGGAATACAACTATGCAACCTGGCCAAAGTTTGAGATACATCTGTGAGTGCTGGCACCAAGGTTAGCCCTCGTTCTGCTACAGGGCTCAGCAGTTCTATGTAGCATGTTAACAGTTTTAAGTCATCATTAACACCAGCATAAAACAAAGCATCTGGTGCAGCTGCAGTACAGACACTGATTTGCAACTGTCAAAATCGTTAGGAATTATGGAATGTTTTGACTTTTACAGTGTTTATCTGAAGTCAAATGCCAAACCTATTGAAATTTGTGTTTTGTTTCCTGGCAACATGGAATCCATAGCAATAAAACATTCCAGAGTGATGTAATCAATACCACGTCCATCTGCACCGAACTGTTTATGCAAAGGTGATACTCAGCTCTCAAAAGACAGCTATATGAGACACACTCACTTCACAGCCTTTACAGCACACTTACTTACTTTAAAGCCTGCAGGAAATCATTCACAAGTGTTAAACTTACAGAAGAATCACACTGGAGAAAATTAAGAAGAAATTGGATTGCTCTGTTTAGCCCCTACTTCACTCACCAGCCAGTGCCACAAGAGTGTCACTAAAAATAAAATCTGACTTCCTGGAAAAGTTAGGATATTTATCACAAAAAAAACATCAAACCTCTCTTCAGAAGAGCTTAAGCAAAATGTTCTGATATCTAGGCTCAAAACTAGTGCTGGAAAATGACACAGGGTATTTTTTTGTTTTTTTCAGAAACAATATCCATTTTTTTTGGATATTGTTTCTGAAAGGCCCCTTATTGAATACAAGATTAGAAAAACAGAGGGGAAAGAAGTTAGGTCTATTTTATACAATAATCTACTCATGCACCTGTTTCTATATATCTGTATTTTCATATATGTGTTTCGGAGAGAAATGCTACTACATGCAAGAGCCAGAACAACAGACTTTCTTCTCTGGAGTACTGGGAAGTTTTGAGTTCATTAAACATGCATATACATACACATGAGTTGTTCTGAAAAAAAACCTATTCAATTAGGAATAATATTATAAATAAAATTAATTTTAAGGACTGAAGAACAGTTTAGGGCCATACAAGTGTGAACAAAGACACACGTTAGCTCATTGTAGTGTTGTGTTGAGTTTCAGCTGGACAACAGGAAAAAAATGTCACCAAAATCTCCTGCTGGTATTAGATGTCAACACAGAAGAGATCCGGTCTGCTTCTTTGATTGCAGAATTCATGAGGTTTCAAATTGTGCCTGAAGAGTTTAATATAGTCTTACAAAGTTATGTAAAGCCTCAGAGATGTCATTTTGGAAAGAAAGCTGACATGAGTAAAGCAAGTGGCCTAGGATGGCAAGCTGCTTCCTCTGTGGCAGAGAGACAGGAATGGGCAGTAAAATTTGTTAACAGTTTTAATATGGACGAATGTGTTGACTTATGATACCATCACAGGTTAGTGTCAACAGATGGGGAGACACAAGAACATGGAGCCAGGGACTGAGTAAGAAAGAAGGCAGCACAGGTTCCTTCAGGCAAGATTAAACCAACTGGGAAACCAAAAACCAGGGGGCTTAACACCCTGCTACTGCTTGAAAGGCTTACCTGGTTTCTAAAGCTTCCAGATCTTCACCAAGGATGTATGGATTTTTGGTCAGGAATGGTCCCAGCTGATTGTCTTCTACACCCACATCCTTAAGAAATAGAAGTATTTTTTTTACATCTTTTTCAAAGTCCAAGGTCAGTAAGAGCTGACCTGCCTTTTGACGTTTCTCCACTTGGGATAAGTCAACTCCTACAACAAACAAAATTAGAAAGTGTTTTAATTAAACACAGACCCTGCTTTCTGTAAATGTTTCACAAAGGCATGTTGGAAATTATAGGACTACTCAATTTTTTGCACTGATTTTGCATACTTTAATTACTCAACACAGCAAGGCTGCAACACCTTGTATATTGTGGAAAGAATCCAGATAAAATAAGCAGTCATTTTAGAAGCTTTTGCTGAGTTTATTTTTTGATGGAAGACATGTGCAGTGAATCCTGCATGTGCCACATTTAGAGACCTGCTCTTGATGCACAGAGGTACACGTGCGTGGAATTTCCAAATCTGTTATAAAAAGGAAGAGGACAATTTTGCAGTGAAGTGACTTTGTATACTGACTTACACGTGGCAATTTCTTACTACATGGGGACAGATTCCCCCTCTCAAATATTCATTTCTCTAACCTCTTTCTAATCTTCCTTGCACGTTTGGGCAACAAGATGGTCAGGAAGTTTGAACTCGGGTATCTCTGTAGCCCAAGTGTTTTTTGATGAGAAGGAAGATTCTCATCAATCCCTTCCCTCTTGCCTCTCCAGTGTGCTGTGCCTCACTCCTAAGATTATGCATAGCAACCAATCTTTTTCCCTCCTTCCAAGGATGGAGAGCTACAAAGTATTTTGCCGCAAATGAAAGTATCCTTAACCAGCCCAAAAGAAGAAAGACCAGTTAAGTAACACAGCGATTCCCCACCTCCTGAAGCTGTGGGAAATGCCTCCTTCTAACACCTACAGCACTAAGGTACTAACATCGGCCAGTTTTGTTCCCCAGTAGTATGGCATTGCTAGTGACACAGTCCCCTCTTTTTGTCCATTTACCCTGGATAACATTCTGCAGCTTTTTACCATTGGTCACTGTTCCCATTTTCAAGTTTACAAGATAACGAGTAAGAGCAAAAAACAAATTACAGGATCTTTAAAGCTCCTGCCATAGGCAGACCACACAAACAAAATCACACATACCTAGGTGGACAAGTTTTGCAAGGGTTTCTGAGTGATCAACGTAATCTCGGAGTGTGGAAGACTGAATGGGGAGAAGAGGTTCTGCAATGATCTGTACAGCTTCTTCCTCAGAAATCACTTGCAAAGCAGATGAAGGTGGGATGTCATCCCAGTCTAAGAAACAAATATAGAAGACCCAAATACATTTTGTGAAAGATAAAGCTGCTCTCACCAAATGTTATACAGAGCTCTTAAAATCCTTTTCAAAATGCAGGAACACTGTGCCATGTGGTAAACAGCCAACCCATTATTTGAAAACATAAAAACATAGACATTGCTCCCAGTTTTTGCCTCTGTTCCATCTCCTGGTCACTGCCCATCAACTTTTACTTGTATGGCCAAATATGAGAGTAGTACCCAGCAAGCCTGCCCTCAGTCTGCTGCCTAGACCGCTGCAGACAACAGATCACATCACCCTCTGGAAAAGGATCGTCTTTCATGTCTTCACAAATGCATTCTTGCCTGATCACAGCTAGATAAAAGGCTACTGCAAAAATTATTTTTCATAACCTGACAAGCCCACTACTTCGTGGCTCTCCTGAATGTGATGCCTGAAATGCAGCTGTTTTAACTTTTAACATATTTCACAGCCAGCTCCAGACAAGTTATTATGTCTTATCCATTACAGAAAGGCAGCTGACTGCCACTATCTCTAAGAGCAAAAGGAATAATTTCCTACTCACTAAGGTTTAAATGGAACATCATTATACTTTTTTTCCCTTAAGTGTTCCAAGTCACAGAATTCAGTGCCTTTAAAAAAAAAATAAAAAAAATCTCTTAACAGATCTATTATTCCATTGACAGGAGCTCACAGCAGCAAGATTAAGATTACTGTTTGAAGGCTAGCTGCTAGCATCCACAACAATCATCAGTTTGATTACTGATCAGATGCCCCAATTATAAACTCTGCAGGAAGGGGACTTTCTGTGCCCTATACCTTTGTATAATTGCTTCCTAGAGACCATGACCAGACTCTTCCATGTCAAGATACAAAGGCACACCAGAACTCTACTAGGGCAGATTGCAAAGTAATTAGGATGTGCCTAATGTTCCAGGAAGAGTTGCACAGACTAGCTTGATAGCTGTTGAAGGTCTTGTCTTTTTCTCACAAACTCAGAAACAAAAGCACAGTAAAATGTTTTCAGCAACATTTACACACTGAACAGGAACTCTCTAGGAATCTATAAGAATATCAAGTGTTTTTTTTCAACTTGTTGAGGACCAAACCGATATACAATAAAGTCCATTACAGATGCATACATGTCTTGTATTGCCACTTTAAGGTCTTTATACTTCCTATTTGGAATCATACTTCAAGTTACCAAACCCCAGCTGGCTGACCCATCATTTTGGTGCAGCAACCAACTACAGAACCAACTACACACACAGATCTCTGTTGTGGCTCTGAGCTACAACAATCCAAGTAATCCAAAACCCCAAATAATAAACTCTATACAATCCAGGCTGACGGGGCTCAAAGAAAAATCTGAAGATACAAGGCTATTTAGTAATTCAGAGTAAGTTTCCACAGCATACCCCAAGTAATTTGAAAGGATGGAAATGCTATAATCCTTGCTTGGATATAAAAGTATGTGGGAAAAAAATGAGTAAATTTCCTCAGGGCAACAATACTAAGGCACAGTTGTCTTTCTCTCATCTCTTTTCCTCAGAAGACAGTCGGGAGAGCATTTCTCATCAGGGCAGTGCTTAAGGAGGCTTCACACTAGTGCCTCCCGTTGGTCATCCTTGTTCCCTCAAACGGCTGTGCACTGTGAGCTGCTTCATGCGTGGAATCTCCTAGCCTCGCTCAAAATTAAAAAAATAAATAACAAACACCAACAACCCCCCCCAACCAACCACCACCAACAAAACAACAAAAAACCAACCAACCAAAAAAAAAAAATAAACAAAACCAACAGACAACCAAAAAACCACACACAAAAACCAAAACAAAACCACCAAAACTAAACACCCAAAAAAACCCCAAACCAAAACCCTTTCATTTGTGAGGGAAAAGCAAATGCTCAGCAGACGCAGGTAAGGTTATGAAAACTCCTTCACACAGCAGCTCCAGACCTACATTTCTACCCAAAACATTATACCTTTATCTCACTTTAAAGGTATTCTTTGCATTCTACGTTGACCATAAATATTGGAATTAACTACAGAGCTAATCAGAAGTGAAAGTCAGAAACTCCAGATACATATTTTAGGCAAACAGGACAAAAAAAGGAGAACCCAGCTGGGGTTAAATCACAGCGTACTGAAAACATAATTTGAAGATTCGGGAGAAATGGTGTCCCTTAAAGCCTCTTACCTTCGTCCAGTATTTCTGCATTCAGATCAGGTAATATTTCTGGTTTTGTTTGTTCCTGTTGTACTGAAGGTAAGTTACTTTCGGGAGAAGAGAAGGATACATCCTTGGCGCTGTCGGGCGGGGAAGAGCTTCCTACAGACACCTGCCTGCACGCCTGCAGTCTGCACGGAACGAGCTCCCTTCCAGCAGGCAGCACAGCCACAGGGGCAAACTCACGGCAACCGCGACTCCTCCTCAGCCTCCCGGGAAACTCAACAGCACGGGCCGTGCTCAGCAGGCAACACCAGCGGGAGACGTGCCGAACCCACACAGCCATCATCCACCTCAGCACAGCATCCTAGAGAAATACAGTGCGGAGTGACACAGGCGCTGCCTGCCTCGCTGTAGAGTCGGGAGCGTGAATCCACCGGGCGTAACAGCGATCCCTCTCTACGAAGCACCACGTAGCTGCCTTAAGGCTTTAAACGTACAACAAACGGGGGAGCCGGGTCTGAAAGCCTCCGCCCGCCGCCCTGTACGACAGCCATTCCCTGGGGAGCACGGGGGAAGCCCAGCCAGGACCTAAGCCCTCTCAGGGGGACGGGGGCCTCCGCGTATAGCTACCACCACACACCGGCTACAGGGCGGTGAGGCTGGGTTGGGCCGCGCTCGCCGCCCTCCCCTCACAGAGCTCCCCACGCCGGCAGCCGCTGGATGCGGCCTGCGGGAGAAGGGGCAGGGCCGCCCGGCCCAGGACCAGCACCCACCAGCCCCTCACCTGCGCCGCACGGCCCGACCCACGT